ACCATTTTACAGAAAACTAACTTTTCACAAGTAAACAGCACAAGTATTTAGGAAGTGCTCAGTAACCAAATGCTGAAGGAACATTTCGTTTTTTGATGTTCGAGTCATCATTGGAGCACCTGGACAGATTCAGCTGGCATAGTTTAACTGTTTAGATTAACTGGATCTAGTTGGCTGAATTATATGTAAAATGGTGAAATCTGAAGCAGCATGTGTAGGTTTTTAACAATTCGTCTTGTCAAACTTTATATTTCTTTAGTTCTTGACATTTGTATCAGAGACTAAACTCTTTGACATTTGATCAGTGTTCTTCAACGATAGTCTGTTAGCACCTCAGTTAGGCAGTTGAAAGTCTGCTCAGTGATGGGAAATGCCAACATAAATTGTATACCTTGTAAATACCTATTAAAATCACCTTATATGAGTTTATTGGTTTTGTAACACTTGTTTACTGCTTTCAGAAACACCTAATTTGCCTAACATAGTAGTTTTGTAATGATACTAACGATGCTCAGGGATGACTTTTCATCTAAATGACTTCGTTCCAAGAAGAAATGAGTCACCAGAAGGCAGCAAGGTTCAAGAATTAAAATTTGACAAATTATTATGCAAGAACACATGATACTTAATATAAGAGTAGAATTGTGAACTATGGTAGAATGTAATCCCATTTAATTGTTTTATTAGATGTATTATGGACTCAAGAAACAGTACTATTTACATACAGGTGATCTTTCTTACACAATCTGTTGTCCATAGTCATATCAAGGTAACTACACAACTTCCACACATGATTTACATACTTCTAATTTTCTCGCCACTTTTGTCATGTGGATACCAGGATTTTGTATATATCCGGAACAGGTACCGAGTCACTCCTGTTACTCGATGTATTTGGTGTCAACTCGATAAACGAAGATTCGATTACCAATCTCCCCCTCCACTCTATCCTGTTATCTTAAGGATTTCCACTCTGTCCCATCCTACTGTGCAGTTGTATGTAATTGTGTGGATGGATAGCTATGGCTGAGGTTTCTTCTAAATTGCTTATTTGAATAGGATATACCAGTTTTGACCTATCTAGGTTTAAGTGTTCGGATAGTGTAATTGACTCTGGTCAACTACTTCAACCTTTGTGCTTGACCTCGCAATCGTTGCAAGGAATGTGGTAAACTAAGTTATTCTGCTCAACTGGATCAATATGATCTTTTAACCGGTAGAATGTATTTGAAGTGAGTTTGTGGGCTTAAATGCCAACCACTCTAATCCCAGCTAGCTTTGCTGAGAATCCTACATGGTGTTTCTGTGGTGTCTTCTAGGTATCGTAATTCTGTTGGCGTTTTGAATTCTGCCTTCACAGTATTGTTATCACTATTATCAACATTATTACCACTATTAACACCTGTGTTACTAATATCAGTTATATTTCTCTTGTGATTCCCAGGAAACATCAGTTAATTCGGAAGGTATTTACTAATGAGTTAGATGTCTTCAATGTATCTGGTTTCTTGTCTTAGATCTTCTGTTTTACCAGTAAGCTTTTTGTCCCTGTTACTTAGACGCTTTACTAAGCCAACTTTAACTAACATAGGGTGAAACGATTTAAAATTTAAGTAATTATAAGAATATGCGGACTATGAAAGCTGATAAAGGACACATTACTGTTGTCATGATCAAAAGGTCACAGAGCACTTATCCAGTAAAGCTTATGAAATGATAGAGAAACAAGAAGCATAAGCCTACACTTAGCAAGGCGAAACTACAGATTAAGAAATTACTGTACAATTTGAGACTGAAGTTAGGCAATGACTCGTGGCTTAATTTAGTACCAAAAAGTTATGCCGCTTCATGCTTCTATGGTCTTCCTAGAATTCACAAACCCAGCTTTCCACTTCGTCCAATTATGGAGTTTACTGACTCATCAACGTATAACCTTTCAAAATACCTCACAGGAGTGCTCAAATCATTACAAGATAACTTGGTAAGTGTCATTAAAAAATCATTAGACTTTGAGCATAAATTATTACGAACAACCATTGACTTTGTTTCTCTGTATACAAATATTCCGGTTGATGAAAGCATATAAGTTGTTATTTCTCTGTTAGAATCGGATACTTCCTTATCGCTTAGATGCAATATTTCCATCTGTAAAATATGTGATGCACTGAGATTATGTTTGACCTCAACCTTTTTTACTTTTCGAGGAAATCTTTGTCGTCATACCAGGGGGGTAGCAATAGGTTCATCTGTCTCACCTATTGTAGCTAATCTATACATGCGCAAAGAAGAATCAGACCTATTTAACCAACACTATTTAAAACCAAGAATATAGTAGAGGTACGTTGATGACATCTTTGTCGTAACCAAATGACAAGGTTTGGAAGATCTTCTGGATTATCTAAACGGGGTTTCAATTCCGTAAAATTTACTTATGAACCAGAGACATAATCCAGAATGATAGCTTTTCTAAACTGCAGGGCCATGTGAAACAATGATGGGATACTTGATGTTGGTGTCTATTAAAAAAAAACATTGTGACAAGTACCTTGAATTTAATTCATCTCATCTATTAGAAACTAAGTTAAACGTTGCCTGAACTCTAGTGACGAGATCACAGAGGATACCAAATAAAGTGGAATCCCAGAAAGCTGATAGGCAACTTGTTCGGGAAGTCTTACCACAAAACAACTATCCAGTAAAGCTACTAAAAAGGATAGAAAGAAGTTTGACGAAAAAAGACACAGAATAATCTACCCAGAAAGATTAGATGATTACTGTAATACTACCTTATCGATCATCCACATCAGAAGAAATAAGATGCATCCTTAGTAGTTACAACATCAGAGTATTCTTTAAAGTGACGAATACATTACACTCACACCTGTGTAATTTAAAAGATCCAATTTCCCATTTTGGACAACAGAACTGTGTTTGATGACTCATAACCCCATTGTACTTTTCATAGTCGAACTAAAATCCCCCAACCTATTTTTGTTTCACTTTGTTTGCACAATCCAGAAAAGCCTCTCTGACAGATTTGTTTATTCATTCACCTGTTTTACATTGATCTTTGTTCCACTTCATGATGTAATTGGATGAAAGTAAAGGTTATCACCTTCTGTACCAAAACTTGAATCTTAACCTGATGACAATACCAGATTCATCCCCTTGAAAAAGATCTTCCTAATAAGATCGAAAAGTTGAGGAATAATAAAACAATATTAAATTTGGGGATTTGTGTGAATTTAGAGATATTTGAAGCTGGTTTTCATCATGGCTGATATCAGTTGGAAGAACACTGGAACATGCTGGCCACGGAACCTCAAGGTCGTGGGTGCGCACTACTGAAGAGTCCCACAGTACCAGGAAACAGCTGCCCAGTGCTCCTAGGTTTCCAGTGTTCCTCCAAATGATGTCAGTCCATGATGAAAACCAACTTGAAACAACAATACCAGTTTACTTTTTTTGTTCTGACATACTCACCGGGATTACACAAGTAAAAATATGCGTTATTCGATGAATCCTTCAAATGAATGAAAATACTCATCACGACATTACAGGAAAAGAGAAGTTCACCGAAGATATCTTTTTCCGCGACTTCATTCTCCATAGTTGTACAGTTGCTGTTTATACATGTTTGTAAATAATAAGAGAGAGAGAGATAGATGTCGATATACTGTTGAGAATTTACTAAGTTCAAAGTAGAAACAAAGGTTGAACATAATTTTGGCTTCTCCATGTAAACGGCAAGAGCTTCTACAGTACAGAGAAGACGGGAACACACCATTTTCGGTAAATTTCTTTTCACCTTGTAGATAACGTTGAACGCTGAATCAGTTGTGATGATGTGATCAGTGTTGAAAAGATGTCTAATTATTTCATATCTGATGCGTCCACTCGCACCTTTTGATGGTAATGTGTTCTCTGAGCTGAATGGTTTAATCACAAAGCTTCCATTATCACTCTAGACAACACTTCTTTCTAAAGAAGGAAGTGAGCTATGAGGTTTTCTCCAGAATTTATTTAGTAGCCTGTCCTGATGACCTTGTGTGTGATTGGTTGTTCCTGCCAAGGTCTTATCATTGTCCCCATATTGATTTCGATTGGTTTTCCTGATGACGTGAAATTTGACCTTCCCGTTGTTACTTATGGGTTGGTAGGCTGCTAGATTAATGTCAGTATGACCTGAATATCAAGTTTCCAAAAATTCTCTGGCTTTCTCTGTATTTCCTCTATCTAGGATTTTCACATTTTGTGATGTTCTCCAACCCACTTAGAAGGAATGCGCGTCTAAACGCCTACATACCAGGCTCCATAGGGCAGACGAATTGACTAACTTACATGGTAGGGATCAGATTCTGAAGCTTATCTATCCAGTTATCAGGAAACACTGGACGGCTGGAGAATTCAATCCTTAACGTTGACGTGAAAAAAGTTTTCTTTCGTGAGTTTGAAATTCTTCTTTTCAAGGTATCAGCAATGAAGTCACTTTAACAGTCAACCTTCATGTATAATATCTTCTTTGGAACTGAAATGGGTATCTATCTTTCTAGTTGGGGTGTTATGTTTTTGTGCTGGATAACCATTTTCAGCAAGAATCCTTTAGTGGTCAAACGATAAGTGGATTGGTAAAGTTTTACTGTTTAACTATACTCCAGTGAAACTGTCTGTTAAATTTAGTTTATTTCCAACCATAATTTCTAGAGTCTGTGTAATATTTACAGGCATCAGTTAAAAAAAAACAGTTTGTGTATTTATTATTGGTTGAATTTGGCGCACAACAGTCAATTTTCATTGGTTAATTCAATCCACAAAACTACTAATCTATTGTACATATTGTTGATATACATAAAAGATTAAATGTTTCGAGTTCAGTTTTTCACATTATGCCATATCTATATAACTCTAGTACACTTCGAATATTGATTACCCTTTTTATCATTTGTTTCTTCATAGTGTTTGCAATTCAACCCTTCAAATGGTTGTTGATTAGTCGAGAAATGCGCTTAACACCCAAAAGTAGGTTATACAGTCAATGGTTGAAGCCTACAATACCAATTTTTATACAATTTTACTTTTTTAATCTAACAAATCCTTTAGAATTTCAATCTGGTAAAATGCCTATCTTAAAACAAATTGGACCATATACTTATCATGAAAAACGTTCAAAAGTGAATGTAACGCATTATTTAAACAATGGAACACTTGAATATCATGAGAGAATCCAATATTATTTTGATAAAAATTCATCTATTGGACATGAAATGGATAAGATAACAAGCGTTAATTTAGGTTTCATTGGGATTGCATCAAAATTGTCATCTCTACCATTACCTATTGACTTTTTAGTTGAAATCATTGAACTATATAACAATTATAAACTTTTTCAAACAAGAACAGTTAAAGAATTATTATGGGGTTATAAAGATGAATTTTTAAGTATATTATCAAATTATGGAATCAATGTTTCAATGACAAACATTGGAATACTACTAATAGAAATAATACAATAAGTGATAAAATTGTCATTAAAGATGGTGTTAGAGATCAAAAACTGTTAGGTAAAATTGTCAGTTACCATGGTAATAAAGTATTATCCTATTGGACAACACCGACAGCAAATATGATCAATGGTTCAGATGGTACAATGTTTCATCCATTTATACATAAAGAAGATGAAATTTATGTATTCGCCAAAGAATTGTGTCGTTCAGTACAATTATCATTCTATTCAGAAAGTAAGGTGGATAATTTACCCGTTTTCAAATATATTCTTGCTGAAGATACATTTAAATCAGCTAAGACATATGAGAGAAACAAAGGATTTTGTTTAAACAGGTCTAATTGTTTCAATGATGGCGTGTTGGATATGTCTACATGTCAACCGAATGCACCAATTGTTGTCTCACAAGCTCACTGTTAAATGTACGTCTGGATGATTATGTGTTGATGATATATGTCAGCCTTTTTTGATTGAGTAACCATTTTCAAAGGCGTTATTGTTCATGTCTCTAGATGAGTGCACAGATTAGATGCTTACTCCTGGCAATCGCTGAAAATCCAAAGATCATACCACTCTCCGACGAGATGTTATTTATTGTCCATTCGAATAGCTTTACTTTTCATCACTACGAATGTGTTTGAAGATTGGAAGAGCGTTTAAAATGGATACACGATTTATTTCGAATGCTCATAAACACTGCTACTCCCTAAAATCAGGAGGAAATAAAAAAAACACAGGAACTGTTGCTGCTTACTCAGTGGCTAGCACTGGAATTCAAAACGCTAGTTTCGTCCAGTTTGGGACTCGTCAGCTGTGTTCTGACTGAGATTTGAACGCGGTGCCCGTCGCTTTGAACGTCAAAGTGCCATCCTTCAGAATACTAAGTTACGACAACCACCTATTGTCGAACAAGTATCAGTTTTTGTTTATTGATACTTGTGATTTCCCGTTGCTATACTTCTCTGTTACCAGATGAGCTCCTATGCGGAAAGCTTGATACTGCATAAATATTCATCTTGCTTTAGTTTATTCGATGGGTAACAGCAGAATCTAGGTGCATTCACCTGATGAAATGTGCATCCTGGATTCTATTACTAGCTTTCAAGCAAACTATAACATGATGAATATTAAATCAGTGTCGAGACATTCTCAGAACAACCCATCTGCGAATAGTATAGCAGTCGGAAATTATAAACATCAATAAAGAATACAGCACTTGGCACAACTGTATTTTGTTCTGAGTTGCTTTCTTCCAGATTAGTATATTATTCGCTAAGTTAAGGAAACGATAGGCAGCCGAGTAAAAATCTGAAACTGGACGACAAGTAAGGGTGAAATGAAAATCTGGGTCATGGCAACATTCAGACCAGAGGTATCCAGGCCACTCTATTAAGTGAGTCACGAGACCTAGTTGTTCTGATAAGGTTTTAACTCTACTTCAAACACTTAGGGTTTCGCTCAGTTGTCATATGTATCCATATTATGTAACTGTTCGTACATTTCAACCCCCTTGGTCATCCGAATACAAGTCTGTCAAAACACCGCTATTTCACGTGGTCTCAGTAATAAAAGCCAATACACAGAAAGACACAGTCGAACAATTCAATACTTATACGGTTCTGAAGATTCTGATAAGGAAGAAATATGCTTGTACCTCTGTCGCGGTGACTGACTGTGTTCTATATCATTGAGTCTTTGACCATTTCAGCAGTCTTTTTAACATCAAATAGTAGGTCTATGTTATTTCACACAGTTTATAATCAGAGTATGTGGTCTTGTCGGTCGGCTGGTTGTATTACGCTTCGTGTGGCTCCTGTATGAGAGCAACTTGTACCATACTGGAACGAAATGGCTGTCAAATCCCCCTAGGTTTCCGATGCTTCTCCAACTAATGTCAATCCATGATGCATACACCTCTGAAATCAGCAGTCCCTACAAACCTCCAAAGCGACTACTTTTTCGAATATTAACTGCTTCATAGGTTCACTAGCTTTCATTTTTGACATTAAATGATTTTGATGGTTGCTGGCGGCTAGCAGTGGAATCCAGAATGGGCATTTCGTCCAAGTTATGGAGTCACTGACTGGATGTACCCACCTGTCATTGATCGATGTGGTTTCCACTAAGTTTCGAACCATGGACCAGTCATTCGAAGGCGTTATCAACTAGGCCACTCAGCTACGATAGCCAGTTCTTGTTCCGTCATTGATTGGAAGGAGTTGATCAACCTTCACTGATCCCTCGATGTTACCCGTATTTCAGTTTGATGTTGATGATGGTCCAGTCAATGACCAGATAATACAAGTAATAACATTAAATGACTCTTTTTGGAATGGCTTTAGTCAAGTAGATTTGTGTGAGGTTGTTCTCTAAAGCTGCTGAGATGATTGAGACTAACTGCTTACATTCGTGCAGGATTAGTCTTTCTTTCGTTATTTTCTTCAAAGACCTGAATATTTTGTTCAGCGTTTATTAACTTTTACACCCTTTGTTAATCATCCAAGTATATTTTACGCGTTTACCCTGAAATGTCGTTTTTGTGATGTTTTGAAAGGTAGAGATCTAGGTTAGTACAGGTTGGGATCATACGTAACATTATATACTGCGTTTTGCTGAGGAATCCCGTAGTGGGATGAAACTGCTATCCACTACTGCTGGCTTTTTGATAGTTCTCCAAATAATGTCAGTCAGCGATGAATACTACCGTGAAATAAAATCAATCCCCGTAAACTTATAAAGTGATTTTGTTTTATGTAGACGAGTACAGGTGATGCAATAGAACCTTGTGAGTTGGTTTTCTGTATGTCTACACAGACAACTTACTTGACGATGGACGCACATTTCATCCTATCTGGGACTCGTCAGGTGGATATACCTGCTCCTCAGTGAGTGTTGTTCCCACTGAGACTCGAACCTAGTACCCATCATTCTAAACGCCAATGCGTCGTGGATGCACGATAGCCGCTTCATATGCAACGGGTATTAGTCATGATTATTTATGGATCCATTCTCGGTGGGAACAACACCACTCACTGGGGTGCAGGTGTAACCAGCTGACGAGTCCCAAACAGGACAAAACGCATGTCCTGGATTCTTCTACTAGCCACAACCAAGCACATTACCATAAGTAATATTCAGCGAATATTGAAGCGTCTGTATAGGAGCCCATACGCCAATAGTGGTCCAACAATTCAATCCAATAAAACAACAGAGAATTACAAGCGCATCCATAAATAGTAATAATCTACATGAATAAATTACAAGAGTTACGTAGTAAAATGCATTGGTATAGAGACCAGATAGGCTGATAGACGATACGGTAACTATTCCTTTCATGTATAAGCAAACTAAATTGACTATACCAAGCATTTCCTTTTAACTAAGTTCTAAGACATATGGATAGAATAAAGAATGGTTACTGTAGTATTGAGCTGATTCTTTCAAGTTACAAAATATTCCTACTAACCAGTAATCCAAAATGAAAACCAACCATCATTGATGTTGAATGGTTGATTGCCATTAACAGGATGCTATGAATTTAAGTGGAGAAGCTTTGAGAACTGATGAGCAAGGTGCATGTTAATCCTTATGACAGTTCAACCTCCATTCCAAACTCAAAACATTATTTCTAGAAAAGCTACTGTTAAATTATTCATTTTACTGTGAATCAGTCAAAAGACTGAATGTTGTACATCAATTGGTGTTCATATTGTTACTGCAATTCGTCAGTGTAATTTAACCCTGTTAGTTGGATGAAGGTAATCGGCAAGAAAGCCTTCTCCACTTAGTTGTTGCCCTTTTTGCACTTGTCTGTAAGGTGTATATGAAACCTCAACGAAAATGATATCTCGCCTGACACTGGAACCCGCCTCCGCCAGTGCTGCAGTTGGAAATGCTACCTGCAAGCTATTCCGACCGGGAATGTCCTCCTATAGAACTACATACGTACACTGACTGATCACTGGAGGGCAATCAACTTCTGTTGTCTAGTCCTTTGTGCTAATCGAATTCTATCTACCAGGTGAGACACCAGTTTTGTCTTGCTGACGAATGTCAAAATGCATGAAACCTAGATGAATAAGAGGTTCCTGCCAACTGCCTCCATCCAATCAACACTTATCTCAGCGCATCACGGTGACAAGTCTCTTAGCCAAGTGACCAAACTGCAAAAAATAATTGTTAGAATTCGATCAGTATTTCACATTAGACTATAGAAAGTTTGTTACCTTCCAATAAACAATCAACCTTGTAAGTATATCTTACCAGACGGAGAAGCCATAATTATGTTCACTGGAAGGAATAACAGTCATCTAGACGACTATTTATAACGCCAATGTTCCTCCCTTACTCAACAACTACTGCGTGATGTTTGCTTTGTTGAATGTTCTGAGAGAATTATTAAGATCATAAAACCTTTTAGATATTCACTTTTTACGGAAAGTCATTTTTATACACACTGATGTATCTCATCAAGTATAACCTTTGACAGTACCTTCAACGTATTAATAATGAGTTCGAGAAGTAATTCCTCCCTAATTATGAAAAGTGATGAACATTTTGGTATTATACTACTGAATGATATGAGTAGTTAGGAATCTATTCACGCTGATCTGTAGATTTTGCTAACCATGTTAGAGTGATCTAAACAGTTGGCAGTCTCTTCAGTCATTTGGGGGTTGAGCTCATCAATGGTGTACCCAGACAGATTTAATTAAAGAGACAAAATACTTCAAATCAACTGGATCTGGCTGACTGACTTGTATGAAGTGGTATGTCTGAAATGAGAAGACCAATTTAAAAGTTAATAACAAATTACACGGTCCATGTTGGCCGTACCTATCGCTGAATAGTTTTTTAACTACCCAACTGTGGTGTCATCCAGTGAAGATTAAAGAGTGTGACCTTTGGTACCATGGTGTAAAGAACTAATGACACACACTGTTAAACAAGATTAGTCGTTAGAAATCGACCCATACTGTTCTCCACTCTCCGCTCTTTATCCATTTAAGTCAGCCAGCTAGATTCAGTCAGCTGTTTGTTAGCTGAATCTATCCGGGTACTTCAGTGATGAGTCCAACCGCGAACAAGCGGAATGTTTTTTCAGCATTTAGTTACTGAGGTTTGTCAAGCGAAATCGATACACCAGCATGAATGATTCCTAGGCACCAGATGAAACTAGTTCCTGATAAAATGGTTAATTGGTGCAGGAAAAAAGTGAAGGTAAGTCTTAGAGAAGCTGTAAAAAATCGATGCTAGAATCAGCATTGAGGATCATAACTCTTATAAGTTCCATTTGCAACCACAGACCTAATCAACGAAAATTAAATGGAAAGCTGCTTTTCAAACAAGGTATATACCTCTGCTGTGTCCTCTCTGACTGACTAACTAACTAACTGAATAACCGTCCGTAATCTGAATGAAA